AAGACAAGGGAGTGACAAGGCTGGTCTCAAGGTCTCCTCTTGCTCTCTTGCTCTCTAATGACTCCAAGATGGAGTTCTGGGGAACATACCAGTAGTTACTTTCACTTTAAAGGTTAGAGGGGAGAATATAGAGCATGGTGTCAGATACATCAATGCCACCACGTTCTGGGCTGCAGAGCTTAATGCACTTCTGAAGATTAAACCAAGCAGGCTGCCTCTAATGCTGTCGAAATGTCAGCCTTCAGTGCAGGGTGTTGTTAGACATCTGCATTACCTCTGTTTTTTAAACAACATGACTCTGCCAAGAATGAATCTGTGTCATCGTCTAATGGCTCTTGTCATTTTAGTGTAGTGATCAAGGAGGAAAAATGAAAGTACTTTATGTGGAAAACCAGATAAGAAGGTATTTCATAAGCCAGAGTGCAAGGCTGTCTGGAGTATAATACAGATCTATCAGTAATTCAGTTAAAACAGTTTACCTGCTTTACATGAGTGGGTTCAGTTCACTGATCTTCATTCAAGCTAACACTGAAGTTATTTAACTGTGGGCTGCACATTACACCACGCAGACCAAAGAATTATAGCTATTTTTTCCAAATGTAATATACAAATCCATATTGATTGCAGCCAAACATGCCTTTAGTCAAATCTTTAGTACACTTTATTAGGGCATGGATAAGACTTTAAAGTTCTGTCTTAGCCTCAGGGTAGCTGGGGCTGGAGTTGAACCAATCGCAAACAGCCAGAATAGAAAGTTACCTTGGGATGCAGTATTTATTCTCAACAGTGTATCATTTAGAACAAACTTTTTTAAAATGTAAAAATAAGCAATTACTTGTCATTATAAAATGACACATTTTACAAGGGGGCAAATTTGGTTTTATTCCCCTGAGAGGTGCACCTCCATTACAGTGCTCACAGGCACATGCCTCATGTTTGTCATCTGCTCTACCTGTATGTCTAATGCTCCATTTTCCGAGAGCAAAGTTGTCTTTCAAAACACAGGAAGAAAAGCGCCAGCCATTTTTCCCACCTCCAGCTGGTGGGGGAAGTTTATCCCAACAGCCCTGCCAAGTAGCTGGCATGATCTGCATTATTCTAGGATAGCTAGGCAAAGTTTAGAATGAGGAATGCAAAGTACATCCTTGTGCTTTCAGGATTATTTCAGTTTTAAATGATTTAGAGTTCCCTTATATGGAAGGCTTTCTAGGAAAAGACTGGCTAAACCTGTTTCTCACTATAATTGAGAATGCATACTCAGAAATTTAATTCAGCATTGGGTGCACAGTAGTGTAATAAATACAGGCTATGTGGGAGATTCCTTCGGGCTTCCTTGGTTTGACATGACTCTCTGGGATGGGGTTGTTAAAGGGACAGTTGGGGGAATGGGAAAAGGGGGAGCCTTGCCACTCTGGGGAGGGCCTAGGTAGGATTCCTTTAGTGGGTACTGTCCAGTACCATAGCCACTAGCCACATGTGTGTGTTCCCAATTAAGGCAATACTGTAAGAGTAAAAGCTATACTGGGTTTCAATGAGTTAGTATTAAAAAATGTAAAACATCTCAATAATTTTTATATTGCATGTTGAAATTACATGTGAAATAATTATTTGGGGAGTGTATCAGATTAAATAGCAGTATTAAAGTTGACTTCACCCATTTCTTTTTCTCTTTGAATGTGGCTACTAGAAAGTTTAAAATTACATATATGGCTCTATATTTCCAGTGGACATCACTGTGCTATATGCATTTTACATGGTGGAATTATGGTTAGTGTTTATTTTCTTGCTTCTGTTTCTGTATTTTTCAAACTGGCAATATGAGTGGCAGACAGTATTGTGTTTTGAGGAAAAAATATGTAGCATGGATTTTGGAGTCTGGCAAAGATATGTCCTAACTGTTGCACTCGGGCAACTTTCTCTGAGCCTACACTTCCTCATTTGTTACATTAAGAGAATAACTCTTTTGACCTCACCAGGTCAAAGCTTTCCAGGTTGTTATCGGGAGTGAGAGATGCATGGGAAATTAGCAGAGTGCTTAGCACAGAAACCGGCATAGGAAAAACTCAATAATAAATATTCCACATTATTGTAGGTTATATCAAAACACCCATCCGGTGCACAATGTGAAAATCTGTCTCCGTTTCTAATTCAGGTCTTTGTCTCTCTTGTTCTACAAGTTTGCCCTTGGTATTATATCTACCGACTTTTACATCTGGAAAGCTGAACTTCCCCTTCTTTGCCTCATAATTGAGCTTGTTCATACTGACCTTACTCCCACTTAGTTACTTTAGCTCCTTTTTAACTTCAGAGCAAGAATTTTATCCTGGCTACAAACCACGCCCCAACCCTCTATCTGCCCCTGCCCTTTGCCTTGTACCTGGAGGCTGGGTCTTGCTTTTTACCGACGTCTGCTTCTTTTGATGAGATGATCAGTCAAGGACAATTGACACCAGGCCAGTGCATGTAGGAAGCTGTCAGAAGAGTAAGGGTCATGTAAACAAGAGATCAAGACAACAAGGAGCAAAGACAGAGCAGAAGAAAAGCAATGTTACCACTTCTCTCCCCTTGTTTCACAAGCCAGACTTTTCTTCTCATTGCCTTTGTCTGTTGGCTTTAAAAGCTGTGCTATGTTCAGCTCAGGGTAGATACAAGGTGTTTCTCATTGCCTTTCTAGATTCTCACCGCCTGAAGTACAACCTCCCACAGTGTAGCATGGCACACATGTAAAACTGTGCACTCAATTTCCATATTCTGGGCAGTAACTCCTCAGATGAAGATAGTTATACATGTTCTCTGAAATTCAGTGATGGAAGAGAAAAAAATGCAAAACTTTGTGAAAACACGTGGCTTCCTAGCTCCTTCACAATTAATGAGCCTCTCAGTCAGAGCTGCATGAGATACTAAAAGGAGCAGGAACATAAGATGAATTTGGAATAGCACAGGTGGCTGGGAGCACCTGTACTCCTCAAAGTAGTGGGGAAAAAAAGTCCCTGATCTCTTATGCGAGTATGTATTTTTTTAATCAGAAATATGTTGGGTTTTTTTTTTGTTCCTTTGAATAATTCTTTACAGTATCTGTAACCAGGTGATTCAGAAGAAACTCTGGACTTAAGGCAGATTTTCTACCATTTTTTCATCAGATCAATATGTTACTTCACCTGTTTTGAGATTTGCTGGATGTTCTCAGGATAGCAAACTCAAAGGAAAAAAATGAGCAAATTGGTTTATATTTCCAAGTTTAGGCTGAGAGTTGACAGGAGAAACCTGTGGAAATTCACAAAAGGAAAGTTTCCAAGGCCTTCCTTGGTCACAGATGGATTTGTGGATTTGAATACACCTAGGGTCCCTCCAACACCAGGCAAGGAATACTCAGGCCAGTACAATTGGGAGGCTCAACTCTGGATGTGTGAATGTGGCTGTTTTCCCTGGAGCATTTTTTTAAATTGGTTTATCGAGACAGAGTTTCACTCTGTCAGCCAGGCTGGATTGCCATGGCGCATTCATGTCTCACTGCAGCCTCAATCTCCTAGACTCAAGTGATCCTCCCACCTCAGCCCCCCAAGTACCTAGGACCACATGTGTACCACCATGCCTGCCTAAGTTTTTCTATTTTTTTGTCGAGATAGGGTTTTGCTATGTTGCCTAAGTGGGTCTCAAACTTCTAGTCTTAAGTGATCCTCCTGCCTTGGCCTCCCAAAGTGCTGAGATATCAGGCATGAACCACCATGTCTGGTCCCCATTTATTAACAAAATATTTACCATGAGTCATAGGCAGGAAGCATTCGTTGCCAACTGTGACTTTCCTATGGTTTCCAAGAAAATCAGAGGATTGAAAAGGTGAATAAATGTTTCTTATTATGATTGGTTGAAATTTAGGAAAGGAAGGAAGCATTTCTGAAAATGCAAATACTGCTTTAACATAGCAGCTCTCTACAGGGGAACTTATATTCTGGGTGTCTTGGCTTCTTAAGAAAAGAGACAGCAAATGCTCTGCAAATCCCCTGATCTTCCTTTTTTCTTTTGTCACTGTAAACTCTCATGATACCTGTGATTTCAATTGTTTGTGGTTGGTGTAGCATCTTTATCTCTGTCAGAATTGCAGAATCTAGTGGTGGTTACATTAGTTGGAATATAAACCTGTGGGCATGCAAACAAATGTACATACAGTCAACATTTGATCTACATAAGGGGCCTTCGAGCGGTCTCTTCTCTAGGGTCTGATTGCTTTTGGGCTGCTGACAGCACAGCTCAGTGCTGCAAAGGAAGGGACTATGTTACTGGCTGCTGCAGTTTTATATTTGCCATCTTTGAATAATTCTTTTTCCCCATATAGGGGTGGAAAAGATGATGGACCTAAAAGTGTCTGAAAAGAAGCACGTGCTGTTGCAGAGATGAGCATGATTATAGGTGTGCATACCTAGCATGTATATGTCCAAAAAGCATTCTTGGTGACACGCTATTTCTGATTTTGCTTCTGTTGAAACTGAATGCAAAACCAGTGTCATTAAATCTGCTGCTTTGTTGCCAAAGGGATACGACTTCCATTTGATTTTAAAATATCACTAGGTCTTCTTTGTGCAGACATCCTTTAAAATACAAACACTGCCTTATCGAATGCAGCTATACAGTATGTATACATCTTTTTCTTTAAAATGAAAAGACAAAACCAGATTTATGGATAACATAAAATGCTTTCTGGATACACAAACACCAATGAAAACATTTTTTAAAATTAACAGACATCAACCAGTATAAATACACTGTCTAAAGCATTTAATGGTCTTTAACACAGCCGCCTCCCTCGGGTTTGAACCAGTGTTAAATTCTCTTTTGCTCATGGCAAAAGAAGCTGTCAAGCACAACACTGAAAAATTGGTACCATTTCCTGGCCAGTAAGCACAGAATGGAGGGACTAAGTATTTTATGGTTTTATTTATTTATCTACTGAGTTCTCATGCTGTGTTTTTCTCTGTTTCTCCCTCCTGCTGGTGCCTGCCCAGGGCTGATTGTTGTGACACTGGCCGTATGCTGGATGCCGAACCAGATTCGCAGGATCATGGCTGCAGCCAAACCTAAGCACAACTGGACGAGGTCCTACTTCCGGGCGTACATGATCCTCCTCCCTTTCTCGGACACGTTCTTCTACCTCAGCTCGGTGATCAACCCGCTCCTGTACACGGTGTCCTCGCAGCAGTTCCGCCGGGTGTTCGTGCAGGTGTTGTGCTGTCGGGTGTCGCTGCAGCATGCGAACCACGAGAAGCGCCTGCGCGCCCAAGCGCTCTCCACCATGGACAGCGCCTGCTCTGCGCAGCGCCCCCTGCTCTTCCTCACGTCCCGGCGCCAGTCCTCTGCAAGAACTAACAAGGTTTTCTTAAGCACTTTTCAGAGCGAGGCCGAGCCTCAGTCTAAGCCCCAGCCATTGAGTCTGGAGTCACTAGAGCCCAACTCAGGCGCAAAACCAGCCAATGCTGCTGCAGAGAATGGTTTTCCGGAGCACGAAGTTTGAACATCTAGTGACGAAGCCTTGAGTGGGACCTGGCCCTCCACCCCCAAGAAAACAACGTCACCCTCACACTGCAGTCTCAAAATAAACTATGCCCCCATCAAGGGTGGAATGGATGCTGGCAGCTTTGCAACAGGCAGTGCCCACCTCAGTGACTTCTAAGGGCTGGCTGTGCCAGCCTGGCCTTGGCTCTGGTTACACAGACGTAGGGGTGAACTTTCCACCTCCTTCCTTCAAGTACATACTGAAAATTCAGTCAGCCCGAATTCATTTAGAGCTTACAAAAATGCTTTACACAGAGCTCTTTCATTATTTGCAAAGGAACAAAAAGAGAACACGGACTCCTGCTCCCTACCCAGAATAAAAGGACGGCCGGGAGAAACTCAGGGAGGTGGTCGGGCGAGGGCCAGAAGAACAATGCAGGAGCGGGTGGCATCTCCTTCAGCTTCAGCAGTGGGCTGAGAAGACGGCTAATTTGAGGAGCAGGATGGTGGTGGGGAGCCCTGGCCTGAGGGCGGAAGCAGAACTGCCTCTTTTCTTGGGCCTTGGCCCGTTGCAAAGAGGGGTGTTGCAGCAGCTGATGCACACTGAGTTCAGTTTCCCTGGGGAGCAGAAGGACTGGTACCCGGCAGAGGCGATGAGACAGGCGGCTGATGATGCACAGGACTTGCGATACATGATCCCTGCAACACAGACCCAAAGGACCTGGGTTAACGTGCACTGGTCAAAGGACAGCTATTCCTTACTCCTTCCCCAGCCCAGAGATTTGATGGGGCCAGGGAGGCGCTTCCAATTATTTCACTGATACTCAAAACACACAAGATAGATGTTGAAAGAGACAGACAGTTTTTCATTACCTTTAACAAAACTGTACCTTTAACAAAACTGTTCCAAAAGCTATTTGAAATGCCAATAGCAGTGAATAAAGTGCTTTTAAAATGAAAGCCTTTTTTTAAGTCACAGTTCACACTACGTACAAGACAGCTTTTTATTTACTTTTTATTGTTGTTCAAACTGTCTCATGCTCATGCCAGTGAGGACACAAGCAGTGCTTCTAGATCTTATCTCTGTTATTACTTTATAAACAAACAACCAAAGAGAGATGGCTCTCAACTACGTGTTGATGAAATCCTGGAATTCTTTGAAGAAAGAAAGACCAAATTGCAACAGGGAATAAATATGATCCCTACTGAAGGGGTGCCTGGCTGACAGTGTGCCCCTCACAGTCTTATTCTCAGCAAAGACACTCTGCCTTCGGGACACATGGCCATCTACCAAGCCAGGACTACACGGCTAGCACTCAGGGACACACAAATTCTTTGAAGAAAGAAAGACCAAATTGCAACGGGGAATAAATATGATCCCTACTGAAGGGGTGCCTGGCTGACAGTGTGCCCCTCACAGTCTTATTCTCAGCAAAGACACTCTGCCTTCGGGACACATGGCCATCTACCAAGCCAGGACTACACGGCTAGCACTCAGGGACACACACTGGGTATAAAAAGGAGCTTCCCAAGAAGACTGAGGGGCCTGTCTCAAGGACCATATGTGTCCTGTCAAACTGCAGTAGAGTCATCAAATTAATTAGGGTGTCTTAGATGACTTATTTAGGGGCTTCCCTGTCTCCCAGGCACTACTCAGACAGCTGTAGTGTGCCCAGCTTCTTCACTACCCAAAGCTTCCCTCCAAGGAAGGTCATCATGATCACCCCCATTTTACAGATGTGAAGCCTCAGGGCCGAAGAGGTTTAGGAAACTTGCCCAAGGTCACATGAACAGGAAGTAGAGCGGCTGGGATTTAAACCCAGCATTCTGGCTCCATGCTGTCACGACCGTTACTGTAGAGCAGCAAAGTGGACTGCCAATTCACTACCACAACGGTGGGGATATTTTAGGGGGAGGGGACTTTACTCTGAAGATAGTGACATATGTATTCACACAAAAAAGCTATTTAATATTAAAGGTGGACTTAGAATTAAGAGGTCTTAATCCTGTTAGCTGCCTTGCACAGCTGAGGGATACAGAATCCCACTCATTTTCTGCAGGGGTGTGGGAAGGTGTGATTTTTGGCTTCCTCCTCCTTGAGAACTACCACTTTGGGTGCTGTAGAAACAGTGAAGAATCAAACTGCCTAAAACTTTCAAATGGGAAGTAAAGAAGTACTGTGGATTTATCTTAAAACATGCAATTTTATGTCATTTTTTCCCCTCTAACTGCATGTTTGCAGGGATTGATTTTCTAAGACCATTACAAAATCCTAGACGGTGGCTGCTCTGGTAAGATAAAACCAAGGTACAGAGGCTGCCTGTATCTATGGGTGGGAGGCACTGTTTGATTGCTAAGGAATACCCTTCAGGGCACTGCCCATTTATGGGTTTCCCATAGTCTCTCCATTTGCTATCCATGGCCCTTCTTAGGAAATCATTTCACTCTCTTTTTATTCTTAAGTATGAGGAACAGTAACTGGCATTTATTTGCCTGTTCAACTACAATGAACTTTTTTCCTTTCAGTGAATTTTTAAACTTTAAAAAATACTTACTGAATATGTTTTTCTCTGTAAAAATGTTCAAACAGTCCGTAAGGTGAAATACCCCTTGAGTACCCCTGCCAGTTCCAGGCCCTCCACCATATCCCCCTGCGGGCAGGAGCTGTCATCGGTGTGGCCTGTCTCCTCCCAGGCTGGTTTCTGTACATTTACATATATACTCACAGAGAAATGTGTTTGCACACATTTGTTAATACTATCACATCCTATATGCTATTCTGCAATTTGCATTTTTATTTAGTGACATGGCCCCGGCTACTAGTGGGATGCTATATCCCTCAGTTATGCAAGGCAGCAAACAGGATTAAGACCTCTTAATTCTAAGTCCAGCTTTAATATTAAATATTATCTATCCAAAAAATAATTTATTGAAATAAACTAGCCACATACATACCCACGCAACAAGGCTAACTTTACAGGGTTAGGGATCAGTGTGCAGGTAAGTTAGTTGGATAAATAGTGCATGTCGTTATGAAGAGATGGACTAACAGAGACACGATCTTTACGGCTGCTGAGACCCTCATGTCATTAGTCAGAAACAATTTATCTTCATAAGGAAAGTTGGGGAGAGGTACAAGCTCTCAAGTTGGTGGTTCATGAACTGATGCCACCACAGTGAGGCTTTCTGAAGGGGAAGGTTGACAGCTCCATAAGAAAAGGGGTATTTACTAGATGCGCAAGAGGGAGGAAAGACAAGGGTGCCTGATATCAGATAGGTGTCTCCACTGCCAGGCTGGCCCCTCCAGGCCAGGTACTCTGTGGAGGTCCAAGGGCCATCAGGCTTCTAGGCATGAGGGCCATGAGGGTCAGGGGAGCTCTGGGCTCCTATGAGCCTCCCTTGGTTAAAGTCTAAGTCTGGAAACTGACACTAGAGATGCTTTGGGTGAGATTGGATGTGATTAAAGATGTTTCTAATGGAATAAAAGGAAATGTAGATCTAGGAGGCATCAAGGTCAGTGACAGGCAACTGGCTGGTGTCGGGGTTATGGAGGAGCTCGGTTTGGAGACATTCAAGAAGAAAAGGTGTGCTAGTTCTAAACTGGGTGGTGGAGGAGAAGCAGGTAGGAGGTGTTGTACTAACAGAAATGGGGAAATTTGAGATTAAAGAGGGCTTTCAGAAAACAAAGGCATTTTACTCATCCTTTTGATGAAAATTGGTGTGGTGGAGATAACACAGTGCCTCCTTTGAGAGACCTGGGATGGGGCTGAGTGGTGAGGCTGGGACAGAGGGACTGATATTTGGAATCTGCAAAGAAGTGGAAATAAGCCACCTCTCCCATGGCTTCAAATAAAGAAAAGCCTTCCTAGTTCATTGTAGGCACTTGAGCGGGTGGGCTGGGGATGGGAACAGAGGTCCTGGACAAACGGGAATGGTTTTGGGGCATGCCGAGAGCTGCCCCGGAAAATGCATCTGATTGAATAGCACACAGGCCACTCAGTAGCTTTAAGAAAATGCCCCTGGGGGTTAGGCGCGAATGGCAGCCTGCACTGGTACAACTGGTGAAGAAAGCAATAGGAGAGAATCGGAGGCGGCAAGGAGTGGAGGGATGTAGAACAAAGACTCACACTGGAAGGAAATAAGGAATGCTGCCGGGCCGGGGGCGGGGGCAGTGAGGACTTAGAACTCCTGAACAGTTCCTCATTCACATGCTTATCAGAATAAATTCCAAATAGATTTAAGATTTAAATGTTGAAAAACAAAACCATGAAAGTACTAAACGGCACTTTGGAACCTTGGGAGATTTCTTTAAGAATTGTAAAGGCTATTCGATGACACAACACTCAGAAGCCATTACAGAAAATATTGAAAAATTAGACTATACACACACACTCTCTTTCTAATAAAATCCCTATACATAAGAAAAAAAGAAGTGAAATATTGGAGAAAATAATTGTAACTCAAATCACAAAGCAAATTTCCTTAATATGTAAAAAGGTCCTAGAAATCTGTAAGGAATAAATAATAAATCAGTAAGGAATACATAAATAACTCATTAGAAAGAGGGAAAGCAAATGACCAGATAATTTACAGAAAAAGAAACAGAACTCTGAAACACATGAAAAGAGGCTCACCCTCACATATCATAAGAAGAATGGAAATTAAACTACACTGAGATGCCATTATTATTTATCACTTGGGCAGAGATTTAAAAGTTTATTATAAACACCGTGTTCATGAATCTTAGAAAAAGACCCTTTCCCACACTGTTGGTTAGGAGAGTAAATAGGTATAACTTCCACGAAGGCAATGTGGCAATAGCCATCAACATTACAGATGCACATACTCTGTGACCCAGCAATTCCACTTTTATGTATGTATCCTACAGATATATTCACAGACCTACAAAACTACTATAGGCAAGGTTATTCATGGTAGAGTAGTGTGTCGTAGCAAAAAATAGACAATCACTCTATCCATCACCAGGGGACTGGTAAACTCCCAGTGTCTTAACTGCACAATGCAATTCCACAAAACTGTACACAAAGATACCGAGTTAAAAACAAAGCACAGTTATGTCTGGACAGTTCCCTCCTTCCTTTTCTCTCCCTC